CCATTAGCATTTTTTATCAATAAAGTTTTGTTTTGTTTTGTTTTTGAGACGGAGTCTTGCTCTGTCACCCAGGCTGGAGTGAAGTGGCACGATCTCAGCTCACTGCAACCTCCGCCTCCCAGGTTCAAGCGATTCTCCTGTCTCAGCCTCCTGAACAGTTGAGATTACAGGCATGCACCACCACGCCTGGCTAATTTTTGTATTTTTAGTAGAGACGGGGTTTCACCATGTTGACCAGGCTGGTCTCAAACCCCTAACCTCAAGTGATCTGCCCACCTCGGCCTCCCAAAGTGCTGGGATTACAGGCGTGAGCCACCACGCCCAGCCAATAAAGTATTCTTTAATTAAGGAATGTACCTTGGTTTTTTAGACATAATGTTATTGCACACTTAATAGACTACAGTAGAGTGTAAACACAACTTTTATATTCAGTTGGAAACCAAAAATTTAATGTGACTCACTTCATTGCAATATTCACTTCACTGTAGTGGTTTGGATCCAAATGCACAGTATCTCCAAGGTAGACATGTATCTGATAAGAATATAATATCCAGAATATATAAAAAACTGTTGCAACTCAACAATGAAAAGACAGCTAACTGAATTTTTTTTAATGAGCAAAAGATTTAAATAGACATATTCCCAAAGAAGACATTAAAATAGCCAATAAGCAAGATGAAAAGATGTGCAACATCATTAGCCATTAATAATAAGGAGTGACTGCTACTGGGGATGGGTTTTTCTGGAGCTAGGCAGTGGTGATGGCTACATAATCTTGTGAATATATTAAAAACCACTGAATTGCATAGTTTAACATCGTGAATTTTATGTTATGTAAATTATATCTCAATAAAAAGACAAATAACTTGATTTAAAAATAGGCTAAGGATCTGAATAGACATTTCTTTGAATGAAGGCATACGAACTTCCAGTAGGTACATGAAAGATGCTGTATTAGTCCATTTTCACACTGCTATAAAGATACTATCTGAGACTGGGTAATTTATAAACAAAAGAGGTTTAATCGACTCACAGTTCCACATGGCTGGGGGGGCCTCAGGAAACTTACAATCATGGTGGAAGGCGAAGGAAAGGCAAGTACTTCCTTCACAAGTTGGCAGGAAAGAGAGCAAGAGCAATGGGGGAAGAGCCCCTTATAAAACCATCAGATCTCGTAAGAACTCACTCACTATCATAAGAACAGCATGGGGGAAACCACCCCCATGATCCAATCACCTCCCACCTGGTCACTCCCTTGACATGTAGGGTTGACAATTCAAGATGAGATTTGGGCGGGGACACAGAGCCAAACCATATCAGATGCTCAATATCATTATTCCTGAGGAAAATGCATATCAATCTTACCATGAGAAACCACTTCATATCCACTAATATGTCTATAATTAAAAAGACTGTCAATAACAAATGTTTGGTGAGGGTGTGTAGAAAATGAAACCCTCATACACAGATAGTGAGAAAATAAATTGGTGCAGTGACTTTCTTTTGTTGTTGTTGCTGTCGTTTTGTTTTGTTTTTTGTCTGAGACGGAGTCTTGCTCTGTCAAGTGAAGCCAAGGCGGGCAGATCATTTGAGGTCAGGAGTTCGAGATCAGCCTGGCCAACATGGTGAAACCTCATCTCTACAAAAATTAGCTGGATGTGGTAGTGCATGCCTGTAATCCCAGGTACTCTAGAGGCTGAGGCAGGAGAATCACTTGAACTTGGAAGGTGGAGGTTGCAGTTGCACTCCAGCCTTGGTGACAGAGCAAGACTCTGTCAAAAAAAAAAGAAAGGAAAGGAAAGGAAAGGAAAGGAAAAGGAAAAGGAAAAGGAAAAGGAAAGGAAACTTTCTATTGCATAAGCTGGGTGGTAGATACACAGGTGCTCATTTTATTGTGATCCTTTAAATTTGCATTTATATTATTCTTTCTGTGGATAAAATATATATCTTAATAAAAACATTTTTTAGAAGTCTGACAGACCCAGATTCTGGTTCAACCACTTAAGATTTCTGAGTTCTTGGGCACATTACTTAACCTAAGCCTTCCAATGTCTTATCTGTAAAGCAGAGATGGCAATAATAACAACTCCCTCATAGGCTTTTACATCATGTGCCTGGCACATGGTCAGTGCTGTTATTAGCTAATGTCAGCCATAAGCAGTTGAGCCACTTGCCTAAAAATTCCAAGTTCATGACTTCTCTTTCTTTAAACTACAATTTCCATATTTGCTATTCCGTAAGAGTTCAAAATTTGATCAGAGGAATAAAACTGACCTTCAAACAGGACTTACTGCAATTCAACCTTTAAAATATCCTTACATAACATCTTTGTAAAGCCAATAAATATTGCACCTTAATAAACCAGGACAAGAACCAAAATTTCTCAATGCCATCCCCATCACGCTACCAATGACTTTCTCCACAGAATTGGAAAAAACTACTTTAAAGTTCATATGGAACAAAAAAAGAGCCCACATTTCCAAGACAATCGTAAGCCAAAAGAACAAAGCTGGAGGCATCATGCTGACTTCAAACTATACTACAAGGCTACAGTAACCAAAACAGCATGGTACTGGTACCAAAACAGAGATATAGACCAATGGAACAGAACACAGCCCTCAGAAATAATACCGCACATCTACAACCATATGATCTTTGACAAACCTGACAAAAACAAGAAATGGGGAAAGGATCCCCTATTTAATAAATGGTGCTGGGAAAACTGGCTAGCCATAAGTAGAAAGCTGAAACTGGATCCTTTCTTTGCTCCTTATACGAAAATTAATTCAAGATGGATTAGAGACTTAAATGTTAGACCTAAAACCATAAAAACCCTAGAAGAAAACCTAGGTAATACCATTCAGGACATAGGCATGGGCAAGGACTTCATGTCTAAAACACCAAAAGCAACAGCAACAAAAGCAAAAATTCACAAATGGGATCTAATTAAACTAAAGAGCTTCTGCACAGCAAAAGAAACTACCATCAGAGTGAACAGGCAACCTACAGAATGGGAGAAAATTTTTGCAATCTACCCATCTGACAAAGGCTGATATCTAGAATCTACAAAGAACTGAAACAAATTTACAAGAAAATATCAAATGACCCCATCAAAAAGTGGATGAAGGATATGAACAGACACTTCTCAAAAGAAGACATTTATGCAGCCAACAGACATGAAAAAATGCTCACCATCACTCACCATCAGAGAAATGCAAATCAAAACAACAATGAGATACCATCTCACACCAGTTAGAAAGGCGATCATTAAAAAGTCAGGAAACAACAGGTGCTGGAGAGGATGTGGAGAAACAGGAACACTTTTACACTGTTGGTGGGACTGTAAACTAGTTCAACCATTGTGGAAGCCAGTGTGGTAATTCCTCAAGGATCTAGAACTAGAAATACCATTTGACCCAGTCATCCCATTACTGGGCATATACCTGAAGGATTATAAATCATGCTGCTATAAAGACACATGCACATGTATGTTTATTGCAGCACTATTCACAATAGCAAAGACTTGGAACGAACCCAAATGCCCATCAATGATAGACTAGATTAAGAAAATGTGGCACATATACACCATGGAATACTACGCAGCCATAGAAAAGGATGAGTTCATGTCCTTTGTAGAGACATGGATGAAGCTGGAAACCATAATTCTGAGCAAACTATCACAAGGACAGAAAACCAAACACCGCATGTTCTCATTCATAGGTGGGAATTGAACAATGAGAATACTTGGACACAGGAAGTGGGAAGAGGGGAGGGATAGCATTAGGAGATATATCTAATGTGAATGATGAATTAATGGGTACAGCATACAACATGACACATGTATACATATGTAACAAACCTGCATGTTGTGCACATGTACCCTAGAACTTAAAGTATAATAATAATAATAAAATAAAATAAAAATAAAAATAAAGATTGTTGAGAAGAGTAACAAAAAAAAAAATTTCTGTCATTTCTGGAGGTTGGTATCAACTAATGTTCTAGCCTAGCTCTGGGAGCTCAAATCTAGGTCAGATTAAGAGAATATTCTTTTCAGTCTTGAACAGCTTCCAGAATCCATGTCCATTCTGCATCTTAGTCTCCAAGTTAAGTGAAGAGTCTCTATGTTGGACTTGCTTTTGTCCCACCTGGATTTCTAGCATATGACTTCAAAGGTAAAATTCTGTCATCAAGCCTACACTACAGTTTTCTGGCCCAGATGAATGTGTCAGTGAATGTGTCAGGGTTGGGTAGTCAGAAGCTAAAGATGAGCAAGAGAGGTGTGGCACTTATCTAGATCCCTTGCAAGGACTCATATTCTTAAAGGAGACACTATTCTATTGTTCATCATGAATCGGAAGCAACTTATAGTCATGTATAATTATTATCAGAGCCCTTTGCTTAAAGTATCTGTCACACAGCTCACACCTGCTTTGTAGCTAATCATTGCCTGAAACTTTCTCTACACAGACAAGGGAAGGCAAAAAGAGATGAACCTATGCAGTTTAGCTATGTGTCAGCAACTCAGATAAAACATTCACTGGGGCAAGGGAAAGCTAAACGATAGGCTCTAAATAGAATTTTGCTTCAGGAAAGCCCTCCCTGACCCTTTCTCCACATCCCACTAAGTTGATATCATGTTACTGTTGTCTCACAGAACCCTTTTAATTTACTGTTTCATAATATGACATGTTTACAACGTTTAATTTAATATCTGCATTTCCCTCAAGATTCTGTGCTCCATGAGGGGAGAGACCTCCTCCTCCTTGTTCATTCCTGTATCCCCATCAACTGGTACAGGGCCTTGCACATAGTAGGTGCTCAAGAATTTATCTGTTGGATTAATGGACAATCAATCCATGTAACAATGAATCAATTCCTGGCATCATGAACAGAGATAATCAAGAGTCCAACTGAAGACCTTGGATTTCCAAATGACGTGGTCCTAAGAAATGATCTCATTGTAAAATCACCTAGTTGGGGAAATGTTAACTATTTACCTGTGCTGAGTGAGTACATTTACAGCTGAAGGATGGTTTGCACAGTAAGCCAGATACATAGATTTAAAATGAGGCATGAGACTCAGTAGACAACCTCCTACTTTTTGCTGGTTTTCTGGAAACCTGTAAATAAAATGGACAAAACACAGAATGCAAAATAGGAAACAGGAGGCAAAGGAAGATTATTCCAATTATATCTGGCAGCATGAAAGCCTTCTGAATATTTTGCCAAGGTTAAAAGAGAAACTATATTATAACCATTTTACCCACGAAACTCATATTCTTGCCCACTGCTTTAAACTCTAGCCACCAAACATAGTTCTAACACATAGAGTCAGATACTTACTTGGAATTAGTAGGTACGGTTGCTTGTTTGTTTTTAAGATGATTATTTTCAAATTTAGCTGGATACACTAAAAATACTCTTGGTTAATTTATCTAAAGTTTGAATACAGACAAAACTAATCAAATCCAAAAATGACATACCACAAAAGAATATTATGTAATCTTGGAGGCCTGGTGTTTGCTAGGCAGGCTGGCCTCAAAAGTTTTTCAATTAATGTTTTAAAGTATAAGCCACCTGTCTTCATTTGTAGAAAAATCAGAAAAGCATAATAAGAAAAATGAATTTCTCAGACTCCCACCATTTGGAGATACTGACTCTAAAAATGTTGACATATTTCTTGGGCTTTTTTCTAATGTTTCTCTATAAAATGGAAAACATAAGGATTATGAATCTAGTTTGTAATCTGCCCTTCTTGCTTAGTGAACATCTTTTCATATCAATAATCTAGATCCCTCTTGGTCCCTCAAGTCCCTTTAGTGTGGGCCCTCTCCATCTTTCTCCCTGGACAACCACCTGTGTCCCATTAAGCTTAAATAACAGGTAATCATCTCAGTTTCCCTGTAGAGATGAAAGCTGCCAACTTCTTCAAGATAAGCTACTTGAAAAATTAGTCTTCCTATAGAAACATGTTGCCTGATGATCATTATAGTTCACTCTGTAGTATGAAGTTAAACATCTGGACAATCTAGCTAACCATCAAAAATGTGTTGGTTCAGATAAAGATATATTTTTCCTTCCCTCACTTTCTGTGTGTTTCAACTCTTAATATAATAGACATAGTATCAGGAGCAATTCAAAGAGACCAAATCTGTTAAACTGAATGAATCATTTGAATGACTTTTCTAAGTAATTTGCAATGTACAAAAGAAAATATGTAATCAGTGCCAGAGGTGTCATTCATGGTCAATTAAGACCTTATGTGTCTCCAGCGAGGGAATCATCACACACTGGGGCCTGTCGGGGAGTGGCGGGAAAGGGGAGGGAAAGCATTAGGACAAATACCTAATGCATGTGGGGCTTAAATCCTGGATGACGTGTTGATAGGTGCAGCAAACCACCGCAGCACATGTATACCTATGTAACAAACCTGCACATTCAGCACATGTATCCCAGAACTTTAAGAAACATTAAAAAAATTAAAAAGACCTTATTTGTCTCTTATACTGACCAGAAACAGTAAACTCATGTATTTTTAAATAAAGTCAAAAGTAATTTACGAGATAATAGAATTCTAATATACAACTAGTGGTTTGACACTGTGAACACTGCCACCTAGTACATTGCCTATGTATTGCTACTTTGTTCAAAGCTGTAACAAATACCTAACTATGAAGTGCCCTTACCTAAGGCAGCAGGTAAAAGGAAAACAAAACACAAACAGCAATGTTGCTGGCTATCCTATCAGAAATATGCCACACTTACTTTGAACATTCTTCCAAGGCTTGGCAGAGTGTCTGTTGAAATGTGCATACTTCCTCGAAGTTTCCCAGTAAAGACGTAACCTCCACAGTACTCAGACTGAAAAAAAAATACAGTACTTGTAGTTATCTATTCTAGTCTAGTTGGCGAATAGTTTGCAAACATATGGTAAATACAAGGGAAGTAATCCCTGTATTTTAACTTTTGCCTTTCAATTTACAACAATTCTATTGTCTTGGGCAACTTCTTAAGCTTCTCCCCTTGATTTTCTTTTATATAATAAGAATAATGATCCTAAAGAAAAGGAGTGGTCGTAGGGACATTTAGGTATTTTATAAAGCAAGGAGTAAATTAAAACAAGTGTTTAATACTGAAGAATATAAATAGATAAAAATACATCATAGCTATGAATAAGTGCAAAAAAACCGTTGAATACTTTCCACTGGATGAACTGGAAAAGTAATTGAAAGACATTATATATGCTCATATAATACACAAGAAAAAAATAGCAAAATCAACTTTCTCCTAAACTAAAATGCTCATACATCAATTAAAGGAAACCTTTATGAGATGAAGTAGGAGGGAAAAAATAGTATCGATTTGTTTGTTTTTGGAGTGGAGTGAAGTCAAATAAAGGCAAACTGAACCACTTTATCCAGGGCCTCTGTATGAAGAATGTTCTTATCCATTCCTCCCCTACCAAACAGTAAGTGATAATAACAACAAGAGCCAACACTCATAGAGCACTGAACACTTACACAAGCATTTTACAATTAAAATCTCACTTTAACCTTATAATAACTCTATAAGGTAGGTATTATGCCAGGGCTGTTTCCATTTTACAGGTGGGGAAACCCAGGTATAGAGAGGTTAAGCAAATCATCCAAAGCTACAAAGCCAGGAAATGCCAAAGACAGAAATTGAACCAAAACATTCTAGCTGCAGAGCCCATGCTCTTAACCACTTTTTGGGAGAAAACGTTTCTGAAGATTTGCTTAAAAAGGCAAGTTTGCGCTGGGCGTGGTGGCTCACGCCTGTAATCCTAGAACTTTGGGAGGCCGAGGCGGGTGGATCATTTGAAGCCAGGAGTTCGAAACCAGCCAGACTGACATGGTGAAACCCCATCTGTACTAAAAGTACAAAAAATCAGTCGAGTGTGGTGGCGGGCGCCTGTAATTCCAGCTACTTGGGAGGCTGAGGCAGGAGAATCGCTTGAACCTAGGAGGCAGAGGTTGCAGTGAGCTGAGATCGTGCCACTGCACTCTAGGCTGGGTGACAGAGTAACTCTGTCTCACACACACACACACACACACACACACACACACAAAACGCCCTCGTCTGCCGCATGTTCTTCTCCTGGAGTGTATAGTAATACTGGGCCGCGTGTGGTGGCTCACGCCTGAAATCCCAGCACTTTGGGAGGCCAAGGCGGGCAGATCACTTGAGGTCAGGAGATCAAGACCAGCCTGGCCAATATGGTGAAATCCCATCTCTACTAAAAATAGAAAATTAGCCATGCATGATGGCCTATGCCTGTAGTCCCAGCTACTCAGGAGGCCAAGGCAGGAGAATCGCTTGAACCTGGGAAGCAGAGGTTGCAGTGAGCCGAGATCTCGCCACTGCACTCAAGCCTGGGGGACACAGTGAGACTCCGTCTCAAAAAATATATATATAATATATTATATATTATATATGTATATTATATATACATATTATATATTACATATGTGTAATATATATATATTATATATGTATATTATATATATAAAATACTAGGGGAGTATTCCCAAGAGAATATTTTTTTGCTGACTAAGAAAGAAAGGGAAGAAGACCAAAACAAACATTACCAGTAACTCTGAGAGAATAAAAAACTGCTAGTTCCTCTGCTGTAATGCCATCCTGAATCACAAGCTGGAAAACCCCTATTCTAAAGTGAAACCTTTAGCCAACCAACTTCCCTCGTTGTTGCTCTCTCAGAGCAGTGAGAACTTAAGTTGGGGCCTTATCTGAACCTGACTGGGGGCTTATCTGGCCCCTTCGCGATCAGATAATAGTCAGTCTGGTTTGCTCAAATCACTTTGGGGCCAACAAGACAGTCAGAAGTAATGGAAACTTACTATCACTGCATTCTGAATTCATTTAGGAACAGTACAGGTCTGACTCAGGTCTCTCACCTCCTCAGCCCTGAATCTTTTCCAAAGAACTCAAACAAACCAGTAAGAAAAAAACCAAATAATCCCATCAAAAAGTAGGCAAATGACATGAACACACACTTCTCAAAAGAAGACTTACAAATGGCCAAACAACATATGAAGAAATGCTCACTATCACTAATCATCAGGGAAATACAAATTAAAACCATGAGATACCACCTCCGCCCAGCCAGAATGGCCATTATTAAAAAGTCAAAAATAATAGATGTTGGCAGCTGGGTGCAGTGGCTCACGCCTGTAATCCCAGCACTTTGGGAGGCCGAGGCGGGCAGATCACGAGGTCAGGAGATCAAGACCATCCTGGCTAACACAGTGAAACCCCGTCTCTACTAAAAAAAATACAAAAAGTTAGCCGGGCGTGGTGGCGGGAGGCTGAGACAGGAGAAAGGCGTGAACCTGGGAGGCAGAGCTTGCAGTGAGCCGAGATCGCACCACTGCACTTCAGCCTGGGCAACAGAGCGAGACTCCGTCTCAAAAAAATAAAAATAAATAAATAAAATTTAAAAAAATAGATGTTGGCGTAGATGTGGCGAAAAGGGAACACTTACACACTGCTGGTGGGAATGTAAATTAGTACAGCCTCTTTGGAAAACACTACAGAGTTTTCTCAAACCTAAAAGTAGATCTACCATTCCATCCAGCAATCTCACTACTGAGTATTTAGCCAAAGGAAAAGAACTCATTAAATCCTTGTATTGTTTTTTGATCGCTAATCAGTCCCTCCTTCGTTTAAAATCTTACCATCTCCCCTCCCAGAGTTACCACTTCAGTTTCCATCTCCTCTACCTGTCACTTCCAGAAAACAGAAAGCATGTTTCACTTGGCAGCAGGGGGCACAGTGGCTCCAGCCTGGCCACATACTGGCTGTGTGATGGGCAAGGGAGTAAACCTGTCTGGACTTCAGCTTCTTCTCTATCCAATAGAGATAGTCATTTCTCCCAGGATACTAGGCCCAATGATTTACTGATTTACTTCAGCCCTAAGAACTATGATTCACAGAACACTTCATATTTCACATGATAATAATAAAAAATACCTTGTTTTTTGTTCTGTTTTGTTTTGTTTGAGATGGAATCTCACTCTGTCCCCCAGGCTGGAGTACAGTGGCATGAACTTGGTGCACTGCAACCTCTGCCTACCCAGTTCAAGCGATTCTCCTGCCTCAGCCTCCTGAGTAGCTGGGACTACAAGTGCGCACCAACACGCTGAGCTAACTTTGTATTTTTAGTAGAGATGGGGTTTTGCCATGTTGCCCAGGTTGGTCTTGAACTCCTGGCCTCAAGTGATCCACCGCCTTGGCCTCCCAAAGTGCTGGGATTACAGGCGTGAGCCAATGTGTCCAGCCAGCCACCGCGCCTGCCCCAAATAACACTTCGTTATGGATCATGTTTAAACTCTTACAACACAGGAATAGAAAATCTTTTCATACTGAAGTAGATTTCCATAGTGCCAGGAGAATAAACAAGTGGGAAATTTAGCAAGAAAAAAGACATTATAACTAAACAAGCGCAATTTGGAAAAGGGGAGAATTTTTCTCACAATATTTTTTCTTTTCTTTTTCTTTTGTTTGCTTGGTTTTTTGTTGTTGTTGTTGTTTGTTTGTTTTCATATGGAGTCTTGCTCTGTCTCCCAAGCTGGAATGCAGATGTGATTTTGGTTCACTGCAGCCTCCGCCTCCCAGGCTCAAGCGATTTTCCTGCCTCAGCCTTCCAAGTAGCTGGGATTACAGGCTTGCACCACCAGGCTCAGCTCATTTGCTTTTGTATTTTTAGTAAAAACGAGGTTTCACCATGTTGGCCAGGCTGGTCTTGGACTCCTGACCTCAAGTGATCTGCCTGCCTCAGCCTCCCAAAGTGCTGGGATTTTGAGCCATCACACCTGGCCAAATTTCTCAACTATATTAACTTATTTAAGTTTGAAGCTGATAGTTTAGGCAACTGTTTATCAATAGTAAACTCTTTCCAAGGTAAAAAGAGAGGTTTTTGTTCTCCATTATATGGGCTGACTGGTAAATTTTCTATTTGATCATGATCTCTAGTGAAATTTAATTAATTAAAATAAAAACAAATAAATGTGGTTTGCCACTATTTGTTAAATATGCTGTGCCTACAAGGATTTAAAAAACTGGTCACTACTTTTCTTTCATGAAAACTGAAGCTTTCAATTCAGGCTTTACACAATCACTTCAGATTTCTAAGACCAGAGTAACATTTGAACATTTTGTCTTTAAAAACACTTTAGCATCTCTTTATCATTCACATTTGCCTGGGTGAAATAATGGCTTGAATAAATTAAAAAAAAAAAAAAAAAAAAAAAGAAATAATGGCTTGAATAGTTCTTATGAGCATTCACAAAATGCCATACTCTTTCCATTCTCAGAGCATGGGAAAGAAGTTCTGCCCTGGCAAACAAAGGTCAGAGCGAGCATGAGAATTTCCAGTTGATGTGCTTTCTGAATAAAAGAACCAGGGAGTTCTTTTCCTATAAGGTAAAACCAGGCACATCACTTTTTTTTTTTAATGTACAAGATAAAAACTGTGACAGTAAGAAACACAGATCTGCTCATTCCTTTCACAGCCAGAAGAGAAAGTAAGCCAAGCTCTCCAAAAGCAACATCTTGCATAATTTCTGTTGCCCTGACCATGTTCTTGGCAACCTGTGATCTGTGGAAATTCTTCTAAAGGGCAAAATCAGTTATTCAGTGACTGACATACGAATAATGAATCCATATGCTGACATTATGTTGCTTTACTTAGTGAGGGGTTTAAAATAAACATCTTACTTGTTATTGGACTGCAGGGGTCTTAAGTAAGTAACAAGAAGAGACTGAAGTTCTTTAGCATATTCTTTTTCAGTGTCCAGGATGTTCTGTAACACCTATGAAAAAAAAAAGTCAATATATTATAATCATCAAAATAGTCTAAGGCAAAATGTAGCTTTGATCTTTTAACCAAGTTACTAGGAAGAAAAAAGGTCCTATTTACTCAGGCTACCACTGCAAGCAAAGAACACAAAATCTGAATGCGCTTTCTTTCAATCTAGCAAACTACTTTAATTATTGCATGACAACTGGTTATATTGCACAATTCATATGAATAAAATTTTTCAGTTACCCATAACTGAACGGGCCTTGCCATTTACATAGTACTGCTTGGTTATTTATTTCTTGTCGAGACAGGATCTCTCTATGTTGCCCAGGGTGGTCTCAAACTCCTGGTCTGGAGGAATCCTCCTGCCTCAGCCTTCCAAAGTGCTGGGATTACAGGTGTGAGCCCACATCAAACCCCACAGTACTGTTTAAAATGTTTTCGTATGCTGTAAATCATTTTATCCTCAGGAAGTTCTCAGTTAGTTAACAAAGAATCATTACTCCTCTTTTATGGAGGAGAAAATTGAGGCCAGCTACCTTAGACACAGAGACTTAATGTCAGTATAATTTAAGGATCACTGTGATATCAAACATCACAAGAGATTTTTGTTTAAGTTTTGTTTGTGATAAGACCTTTAGGGAATAAAATCTGAGGATACAGTGAATTTTTAAGCAGAGTTAAAACTAGTCTTTTATTAAAGGCAGAAGGTGCTACCATGAACAATTCAAAGAACAAAGTAGGCTGAAGTGTGAGAAATGTAACAAGAGAAATAAAAATTATCATTATTATTAATCATGTAATTAAAATCCTATAGGCAAAACAACCAATATGGGGGTTCACAATTTCTCTTCCTCCACGAGCTCTAGGGTCATGTCACAACCCATTTCCAAGCCTTTTCTGGTGGCAGGTTAAACCTTCATTTAATACCTAATGTAAATGATGGGTTGATGGGTGCGGTGCAGTGGGCCAGCATGGCACATGTATGCCTATGTAACGAGCCTGCACGTTGTGCACATGTACCCTAGAACTTAAAGCATAATAATTTTAAAAACCTTCATTTAAGCTCTTAGAGACAACCCAGTTAACATTCTGGTATAATTTTCTTTCATATATTCTAATTCATTCAACAAAATCGACTGAGTGCCTACTCTGCCAACTGCTGTGCTGCCCACAGGGAGTTTATACTGTATTTGCAGAGACATTAAACAGAGAGTTACAATACGGAGTGAAGTGTCCTTAACTAGGAGAAGTGTATTAGCCTACCAATATGCCAGCCATATACTCACAAGACAATGCATGATGATCTGCTTTTGAAAGGTGGAATGGTCAAAACAAGTGGAGATCCCGGTAACCGTGGGTTTTCTGGGAAACAACTGGAGTGCAGGGTGGTAGTTCTGACTCTGCTGCTGACTGAGAGGTTGCTTCAGTTTAAAACTTTGCTTACATCATCTCAGATTATGATATTGCACCTACCTTGGGGACCATTATGAAGATATAGTGACACACTGTACAGATAGGTGCTGGGTAAGTGGGAAACAGACCTACCAATTTAAAGGGTTAAAAAAGGGTTTCTCAATAGCAACATTATTAACATTTCAAACCAGATAATTCTTTGTTGTGACGGAATGCCCATATCATTGCCATGACATTGCCAAATGTCACCTGAAAGGCAATATTGCCCCCAGTTGAGAATCACTGGCTTAGAAGAACACAGGATGGCTTCAAAAGCTCGGGGTTAAATTGTAGCCCCTATACCAAGCCACTCATGTCTACTTTCAGTTCCTCTATTCCTCAGAAACTACCCTCTAAAAGTGTAAACGCAGGGTTCTGGAGGTATTGATGTTCTCAGAAATTAACCCAGTAATGGAATAGAAATATTCCCCTCCATAGAAAGTCCAAGCGCGAGAATGGAAATTAGAAACTACTTTGAGATGAATGAAAATGAAAACACAACATACAAAACCTCACAGGGTGCAGTTAAACAGTGCTTAAAGGAAACTATATATTTATAAATGCCTATTTTAAAAAAGAAAAAAAGACTTTCATTTTTCAGTCTGACATGTAAGGAGCTTAGAAATCATTACTCCATCGTAACAGGAAGTAAATAGCTAAACAAACTGAAATAAACCATCGTTTTCTCTTAAATCTGTCAGAAAAGTGAGGTCACAGGGAAAACTACCACTCTAAAAATTGGAGAAAGAGACAGGCAGATAAAGAGAATCACAAATCACCAGAGCAGAGGTTCACAAGCAGAAGCCTCCACAGGAACCAGCACTAGGATAGAAAAACCTTCACTGTAATTGACAAACTTCTGGGGGCTCCGGATGCACAAGTCTGAGAGTTAGGAACTCCAGGGGGGCAATATTAAGACAGCACACCCACAGTTTTGTGAGTTTAAGCTCCAGGTTCTCTCAGTGAAGATTAGAGGAAAATACCTTCATGCTTCAGGCAGAGGGAGGGAAAAAGTTGCCTTTTTGAATATGCCAGAGCACTCTATTCTTCTTAACGAGGTCTGCCCTCAGGAGAAACTATTTTACCAGAGCATAACCTACTTTTTGTTTGTTTGTTTGCTTTGTTTCTTTCTGTTTTTGTTTTTTGAGACACAGTTTCACTTTTGTTGCCCAGGCTGGAGTGCAATGGCGGGATCTCGGGTCACTGCAACCTCCGCCTCCTGGGTTCAAGCCATTCTCCTGCCTCAGCCTCCCTAGTAGCTGGGATTACAGGCATGCGCCACCACGCCCAGCTAATTTTGTATTTTTAGTAGAGACAGGGTTTCACCATGTTGGTCAGGCTGGTCTCGAACCCCTGACCTCAGGTGATCCCAAAGTGCTGGGATTACAGGCATGAGTCACTGCGCTCGGCCCAAGCATAACCTATTGAAGTTTTATCAAATACTAACTGTTATGGGAGAAGGTCAATAAGCAACTCCAGCCAGCTCTAGCCTTCCACATGGGGGAAGGAAGATAACCCAACTCCAGTCCTTTCTAGTCATCCTGTCCCACCTAAGGGGGAGAACTAGGAAGCACTGGTGAAGTTCATGGTCCAGGGACACAAGCTCATTAAAAACCGAGACCTAATCGTGAAAATACAGAATGCTTCCCCTCCTTCTACACCTTACCACTACATTACTAAAGGATTATTTGCCACAGTTCCTTTACCCAGTACATCATGTCAGGCTTCCAACAACAATTTACAAGGCATATTAAAAGGCAAAAAAAAAAGTATGAAGAGACAAAGCAAGCACCAGAACTCAAGTCAGATAACACAGGAATGTTAGAATTATCAGACCAGTGTTTTTTTTTTTTTTTTTTTTTTTCTGTTTTATAAAAAAGTTTTTTTTTTTTAATTTATTTATTATTATTAAACTTTAAGTTGTAGGGTACATGTGCACAACGTGCAGGTTTGCTACATATGTATACTTGTGCCATGTTGGTGTGCTGCACCCATCAACTCGTCATTTACATCAGGTATAACTCCCAATGCAATCCCTCCCCCCTCCCCCCTCCCCATGATAGGCCCCGGTGTGTGATGTTCCCCTTCCCGAGTCCAAGTGATCTCATTGTTCAGTTCCCGCCTATGAGTGAGAACATGCGGTGTTTGGTTTTCTGTTCTTGTGATAGTTTGCTAGAATGATGGTTTCCAACCATCCATGTCCCTACAAAGAACCACAAACTCATCCTTTTATGGCTGCCATAGTATTCCATGGTGTATATGTGCCACATTTTCTTAATCCAATCTGTCATAGTGGGTTATTTTAGGTTGATTCCAGTCTTTGCTATTGTGAATAGTGCTGCAATAAACATATGTGTGCATGTGTCTTTACTGCATATAATTACTAATCCTTTGATATCTGTCGAATACTTCGTCCCATATAGTATCTAATTCAAATATTCGAGAATCGCCATACTATTTTCCATAATGGTTGAACCTGATTTCAGTTGGCGACGGTTGTTTGAGAGTTGGTTTGTAACGTGTCATGTCAAACATGATTTGCGACTTTAGGACGGTTGCCCGTTCTGGCTGGTGTGAGATGGTATCTCATTGTGGTTTTGATTTGCATTTTCTCATTCTTAGTGATGATGAAGCATTTTCATGTGTCTGTTGGCTGTATGAATGTCTTCTTTTGAGAAATGTCTGTTCATATGTGCCCACTTTTTGATGGGGTTGTTTTTGTTTTTTCTTGTAAATTTGTTTGAGTTCTTTGTAGGTTCTGGATATTAGCCTTTGTCAGGTGGTAGATTGCAAAATTTTCTCCCATTCTGTGAGTTGCCTGTTCACTCTGATGGTAGTTTCTTTTGCTGTGCAGAAGCTCTTTAGTTAATGGTCCATTTGTCAATTTTGGCTTTTGCTGCGTTGCTTTTGGTGTTTTAGACATGAAGTCTTTAACCATGCCTATGTCCTGGATAATTTACCTAGGTTTTCCTCTGGGGTTTTATGGTAATGAATTAACATTTAGTCTCTAATCCATCTTGAATTAATTTTCCATATAAGGAGTAAGGAAAGGATCCAGTTTCAGCTTTCTGCTGATGGCTAGCCAATTTTCCCAGCACCATTTATTAAATAGGAATCCTTTCCCCATTTCTTGTTTCTCTCAGGTTTGTCAAAGATCAGATGGCTGTAGATGTATAGTATTATTTCTGAGGACTCTGTTCTGTTCCATTGGTCTATATCTCTGTTTTGTTACCAGTACCATGCTGTTTTGGTTACTGTAGCCTTGTAGTATAGTTTGAAGTCAGGTAGCGTGATGCCTCCAGCTTCCATTCTTTTGACTTAGGATTGTCTTGGAATCACGAATCTTTTTTTGGTTCCATATGAACTTTAAAGCAGTTTTCCAATTCTGTGAAGAAGCTCATTGGTAGCCTGATGAGATGGCATTGAATCTATAAATTACCTTGGGCAGTATATGCTTCATTTTCACGATATTGATTCTTCCTATCCATGACATAGTATGTTCTACTTCCATTTGTTGTGTCCTCTTTTTTATTTCACCTGAAACAGTGGTTGTAG